ATGTCTAAGTACCGAAAAACTTGGCCTTCCAAAGACTCCATCTAGCTGCTTGAAATTAAATGCTTCTGTAAACAAATTTGTATCATCCAGAATACAGACTCTTTCACGCTAGCAACAGAATCTAACCATTTAAGTATAACACCAAATGAAAATAAAATATTATCTAAGCAAGATCAACAGAAAAGAACTCTTTGAGTGCATCTCTATCATTCACATTGCAGATATTGCAGCTTAAAATTTAATTTGATTCTGTGAGAAATCTTAAACCAGTAAATAAGACATTCAAGTTGACTAGATCTACATTTGTGTATTTAAGAACCAAGGGTAAACATCGCTTTAGAAGACAGTCCAAACTCCAAAATTCATTCCCGAACTTTGACTAAGTCAGTCACAAGATGTACTATACTGCTCATCACCAAATAGGTTAAGGTTTAAGTCAGAAGCATAGTTATTTTATTTAAATAATGGAAGACAGTGCATAATACACAATAATAATGTTATGTCATTTAGGGAAAAAAAAATCACAAATTAAAAAGTTTATTATATTTGCTTCTGTAACTTTTTCTGCTAAATGAGAAAAGCTAAGGGTGATATTATGAACAGAGCCTTTATGTTGTTTGAAATATAAATTACAGTTCTAACCCCATATTACTTGGAGAAAAAAATCTCAGGTAACCAGAGGTTTGGTATGTTTATTTTGAGAAGAGTTATTTTGGCTTTCTATAACTGAAAGAAACCACAGTTCTCTGGTTTGCATAACAACAGTGTACCTGCTGGATGCTTTTTAGCTGCAGTTCTAGAAATAAAAAAATTCTGAAACACTAATTTTATCTCACAGCTCTTGAAGATTTATTGCAATCTGTTCTTAAGTGTGCTGATCCAGCTTTCAAATTCACAGAAACTGTCAGGTTGCCCAAATAAGAACACAACTGGATGCTAAAGAGATACAGTCATACAGAAAACTAGATATATGATACAGGCAGCAGGATTATTCATTGAGATTATTAACACACAAAAAGAATTTATTGGATTGGATGCCTGAAACACAAAGTGGGTCAATACTTCACTCAGACAGAAATGAGTGGGTGCTGATTCTGAATATTCTGTCCCAGCCAATTTTAGGCATACACCTCCTGTTCACATTTTAGAAAGATGGAGAAAAAAAAACAACAGTGAAGCTTCATCACAGAAATAATTCACATTTACAATTCATGTTACCTTCCAAGTTAATGTGAAAAAAAACCCTTAAAAAAATAAGGTAGTGCTATGCTATGTGTTACCACAAAAATCCCAGAAAGAGGCATTTCTAAAGGGCATTCCTCAAATCCAAAATTGTCTAACCACAGTATTCTCAGATGCCAATAATCTCTTACAGAAAGATGTCTAAGATTTCAAAAGCAAATGGAAAAAAATTCTCCCCACAACACACAAAATCTACACAGAACAGAATAAGGCAGCTCATGAAACCTGACAGAATTTAAGGAGTTAACTTCAGACCTTACTGTCAGCACTAACAACACCTGCATGCCCTGGGGCATTTAGGAGTTGACTTATAGGTTCACAGGAATTTTACCTGCAAAAACCTTAGACACCTGAAAGATGAAATGGGAGAGAGAGTTTTGAAAAGCCATGACTTAGAGACCTACATTCAACAGGGGAAAATGAGGCTGAAGTATCAAAGTTATTTGTAATCTGTCTTAAATCTCAAAATTGACAGTCTTAGATATACACACTAATTCCCACCCACCTTCCTTCCCACCTCTAACCCATAAACTAGAATTTAACTAGTAAAAATGTTTGGAATCAAGTGAATCTGTGTGTTACCGTTCATAGCTAAGTGGATAGGACTTCCTACTATCTGCTAACAGGTACTGGTAGTCAGTAGAAGACCAATACCTGCTGAGTCAGCTGAAGCTCATTAATTCTTTCTCCGGGAGGTTATTCCTCGCTTTTCTTTATAGAGATGGAAACAACTTTTTAAGCAAGGGAGAGCCTAAGGTCTTTCTGCATCTCATGTGTCAGCACTTCTCTTGAACTCTTTCACACAAATTAGAAGCATAATTCAAGTGCCACACCACACAAAACTTAAGCAAAGACATTCTTAAGTAGATACTGCTGGTTAGTGAAGTACAAAAAGCCCTAGCCACAGTAACAGAGGGCCACAAATATAGGACAGAAAGGAGAAAACAGACACTACCAGGATAACTGCAAGCAACTGGAACAGAATGACCAACTAGCAGCGAGCAGCAACTACTGTTACTGACTGTTATGCAGGGAAATTGTACTTTATCTTCAATAAACTGCCACCTGTTCCATCTGTCAGTTAACTGCGCCTGTGCAATTGTCTTAAATCCATGGTGTAAAGTCCTCCTGATCACTGACCCTTCATTAAGCAAATATGAAATACAATCTATTTATGCATCACCATCTCTGTCTTCATCTCAAAAAGCCTGCAGGTTCACTATCCACATTCTTCTTTCCTGCGACTGCCTCCAATTATCCAGTATTATTTTTTGCACTCCTTAAAATGTTGACTTGAGGCATATATTGAGCAATTACAGTCACAACCTGCTCAGCAAATAACACTGCAGAAAATTGAATCCAAGTTTGCTGTGTTCTGACTTGGTGTTAGAAGATTAGTACTCACTGAAAAAAAAGATAACTGTCATCCATGACAAGTGATGATTAATTAGCATTAAAACTAGAAGTGGTATAAGAAAATGCTAGCTGTTCCTGAATGAAAGACAAAGCACAGGTCTCTTTTCTCAATGTGTCAGAACTTTTAGACACATGAAAAAACTGATGTGTTAGTGAATATATCTGACTGCGAACACATGGTATTCTTGAAACACCACAATGAATATATAATAGGAATACTAGTATAGAGTACAAGCTTCATCCTATGCATAGTCTTTGATCAATTCCCATCAGCTTCAAATACATGCCTTCCTCTTACTAAGATCAAGCACAGGTTGTATATCTACAATAAACTGTTGAGATCAAAAAGTACATCACCAAAATGAAATATGTAAGTAGATTTTGAACAGCTAATCAGGAAGTGGAGAAGATAACAATTACGATCCTCTTCCTCCCACTGTTATGGATTAAAATAACTGTAAACAGCTACAGGAATGCTACACCCCTATATCTTGAAACCACTCACTAGTATTCAGGTGTAAGTGGATTTCTCACAAAAAGAAAATCTTCCTGGTATACAGGAGTACATTAACAAGCTGTAGACAGTCTGCAAGGTTATGCAAAGAGCCTTTCACAGATTCTTTCTATCAAAATGCAATTCCAGTGACTAGTGAAATATGTAGTGATACATGAAATGCTGTAACAAATACAACTTCTTCATCTTTCCCTCCACCATTGATAACTAAAGCATCCCACAAGAATCTAAACAGCAGATATGAGCATCTTACACTACTGAGAAACTAGGTTAAAACACCAGGACTCAAAACAGTGATGTCAAGTATTTTGTTTGAATTTTAATGTGTAAACCAACGGGTTAAGGAAATTTTGAAGAAAATGACAGCTGTCAAGGGCCTAACCCCTCAATAACCCCAAAGCACTTAATTCCCATTGAGATATACAAGAGTCAGTTACGTATTGTCGTGGTTTCACCCCAGCTGGCAGCCAAGCACCTAGCAATTCTGCTGATTGAACAGTCTTTTATTCAGAAACTGAACCACGCAAATATTTCATTTTTTATTAATTCCTTAACTAGAAAAATCATCTGCTGTTCCCTAGTACTCGGTTACTGTTCCATCAAATGGAGCTTTATTTATTGCAAAATAAAAATACCTAACACCTCTGACACTGAGCCAACATAGTCTGTTTCAACAGCCTCAGCGTACAAAAAATACAAAAACATTAATGAACAGTTTTCTAACAAAATTTGAACCTTTTTTATGGGCGTTGGCAAACGTTACCCAAAATATACACTGAAGACGAGGCATCCACCACACCAGAATAAAAGAGATTTCATATATAGTAAGCTTGATTGAGAACAAGTTAAATACTGAAAAAGGGAGACTTGTGCCTTGGGATAACACTGCCAGAGTATAATATATGTGCATTTAGATGTGAAAACTGCATGAGAAACAGGATGATAAAATGGTAATAATTGCGATTGCTCTAGTACCCTTTCAAATTCTAAGTATTCACAGCTTATGCACTGAAATAGTAAAATATGCACATCTGTGCATCTACAAATCCAAGCAAGTGCATAGTTGTAAGAAAACAGAAAATCTATAGCAAAAATACGGTTCCCAAGTGTATGACTGCAGATAAAAATTTCAGAAAACACCATCGACATGGACTTTTCGCAGGACAGAGTTCTTCCCGAGTGCCCAAGTGGGTTTCACGGTGGGGAGGCATCCATCTCTCCCTCATTGCTAGCTGGACAGGGAGGGGCAGCGCCTCGGGGCTCGCCCAGTCCCCGCTGCTCAGCGCTGCCGCCCTGGAGACGGGGGGTTTGGAAGTGCCTCCTCCCCCCGGCCGCGCGGGGCAGGTGCGGGATACGCCGCTCCCCGCGGCCGGACGGCGGAGCCTGGCCGCTGTCCCGCACCGCGGGGCTCCGCGGCCGCCGAGGCGAGGCCAGCGCCGATGGGGCGTCCCTGGGGACTGGGGCCGCGGTGGGAGGGCGAAGGGGCACCTGTTTCAGGATCCGCGCGGGATCTTGTGGAGCAGAGGGCGGCGCGTCTCGCGTGTGGCGGGCGAAGAAGCGGGGCACATCCGCGGGATAGCCGGGAAGGGAGGGCTGCGCGATACTCCGGCATTCGGAGGGGCGTGGAAGAGGGACACGAGGGCAAACGCGTGGTGCGGGGCGGCAGTGCACGGCAAGGGGTGCCGGCACTGCCGAAGCAGCGCCTCAAACTCATCCTCGCCCCTGCGTTCGCCTGGGCTTGCGCGGGGAGCCGGGCCGCTGCGGGGGGACTCCCCCGCCCGCACCGCTGCCCGCCGGGGAGGAGCCGGCCGGCAAGAGCGCACCTTACCTCGAAGAGGGGACCGATCTTATTCTTCTCCAGGTAGGCTTGAATCCTGGTCTGCTGGTGAGACGCCATGAAGAGCTCCGGAGGCGGGGGCTCGAGCTCCTCTTCCCGGCCGGCGGCTGCAGTCCCTCCGGCTGCTGGCGGCTCGCTCCCCCGCCGCCCAAGGGCTGCCACAGCGGGAGCGGCGTGAGGCGCTGCGAAAGTCCCGGGACGGAGCTAACTCAGGTAACCGGGGCGGGGGGGAGCCGGGTGCAGTCGTCCGCCTTAGCTAGGCGCGGAGGCTAGCTGCTCTCAAGGAGCGGCGGGCGGGCGCTGCCTTGGAGCAGAGCATGGTGCAAGGAGGAGAAGCGCTGCAAAGGCGGCCCCCCAAGGCCCGCGCCGCTCCGCGCTGCGTGTGTCTGTCAGCCCGTCTCCGTCTGTGTGTCTTTTTGCAAGGCAGCGCCTTGGTTACGGGAGCGGCCCGCGGCTGCGCTGCGCCCTCGCTACAGCGCCGCTCCCGGAGCCAAGAGCCGGGGGCTCCCGTCAGCTCCGCGCCGCCGGCGCCCGTTGACGCCCGGGCTCGCGCCACAAAAGGCGGGAGCGAGGGAAGTGGGAGGAGAGCGGGCGGAGGCGGGAGCTGCTCTGCCTCCTCTCCGCCGCCGCTCCCCTGCCCTCCCGGGGATGGGCTTACCTCCCGCGGGGCCGCGTTCTCCCGCTCCGCGGGCGCTGCCTGCGCGCCGGCCTTTTGCGGGGCCCCCGCCTGGCTCCGATTCCCCGTCGGGCGTGAGCGCCGCGGGCCGCCCGGCGTGAGCGACCTGAGCGGCACATGAAAACTTCAGCTGGTGGAGGGTCGCGGAGAAGTGAAACAGCTGACAACAGGGAATGGGGTTGCAGGGACTACAGCCAGCACTTTTCCTTAATTTTTGTTTAGATTATTTTTAAATCTTAAAATGCTACCGTTCTTGTGATGTCAATGAAATTCCCAGTTAGCGACAATGGGTATCTCAATGCAATAATTGGAGTAGCTATGCAGGTGTATCCTGGTCTCAGGTTGTGTTGAGTTCCCGCAGGCATCCAAGAGGTCTCGGCCAAAACCCAATAGAGCAAATGAGAAATTTTCAGCTGGCTTCAAGGAGTAGTGAGTTAATGAGTACATCAGAGAAGCAGTATTTATTCTTTCTCCACTTCAAATAAGTAGTATCCCACCATTTCTAGAAGCAGGGTCCTAACCAGCTTTTTTTTTCTTTCTCTCTCTATTTTTAGAGAAGAACAAACAAATCATGTTTCTTGGGATTTGACGCTTCCGTTCGTCTTCAATAACTAATTCTGCTGTAGCAGCATTCACCTGTTTTGTGAAAAAAGATACACCTTATTTTTTTCATAAGGATTTTTTTAAAGACACAAAACAGCTTTGAAGAATATTGGGAACGTTCAACTCATCTGCTGAATCAGGCTGCCTGCTCCCAGTCAAGCATGCTCTGCAAATGCAAGAGTACAAGCCTCTCCTGATTCAGAAACTGCTAAAGAAAAGGGTGAATTTCGTCAGAAGTTAAAAGATCATGCGTTCCACTGCCATTGCCATTGACTGTTGTTTGACTTCAAAGTCCTCCTTGCTGACCTAAACCTCATGCCTCTACCTAGAAGGAGGTCAGATGTAAGTGTTTTATAAAGATAGTTTGCAGCACACCCTGTAGAGTAAGCAGTAGCTTGTAGAATTCTTTAATAGTTTTGCTAGAACTTGCTCATCCCAGTCTTGGTGAGGCAAAATGTTTGTTTCCATAGTAGTCAGTTAAAAATGGTACTTTTTTTTTTTTAAATTTGGATTCCTTATATGCTGGTAGTCTTCTAAAATTCCTACTAGCTCAGAGTTTTAGGATATCATCTTCAGCAAAGTACTTCTGCTTTGCCTCTTGCCACTTAAATAATATGGTGCTAAGCTAGTTTAATCAGCCTAATGAGGATCATACAATCATAAGTGTAATTGCCAGTGATGTAGATTCTCTGTAGTGGCTCCAATGATTCCCATCAGATGAGGATGTTTGTAAAATTTCACAAATCTCACCAGAATCTCAACTGCTCCAATAGATAAAAGTCTCCCACTTTGCAAAATTATGCTTCCCTCCTATGATCCAAAACTGAGAATATATATTTCTATAGACCTACACAGCCTGACTTCTGAAAGCAGCATCACATGAAGACTTGCTAGGACCTGACCACACCAGGTCCTGCAAACTGTCACTGCTCTGTGTAGACCAGGAAGAGGACCGGAGAAAAGAAACCCCACTATCAGCAATATGAATAGAAAAGAGAACTTATTAAAGGAGGTTTTAAAGATAGCATAACTGTCTATGATTGCATATCGTACACTTAAAACCTCAGAGTCTGGGGTTTTGTTGTGGGTGTGTATTTTTTTTATTCTCCCACTGAATCATAGAATGGTTGAGGTTGGAAGGGATTGGTCCCAGCCCCCTTTTACAGCAAGGTCACCTAGAGCTTGGTTGCCAAGCACTATTTCCAGATGGCTTTTGAGTATCTACCAAGGATGCTGGATTTTTCTGGTACCTGTAGTCGGTTTTGCTTACTGTTTCCATAGATCATCTTTTCCATCACTTAATTCTCATCCAGACATACAATCTAGACTTTCCAGCAGGCTTGGGAGACACACTGTCAGTCCTAGTGTGGCTGGGAAAGCTTCCAAGGCCAAATGCTGAATTAGCTTTTTTAACAGACACATCTTGTAATCTCCAGAGTTCCTGTAACTCTTAACTGACAGGTTATACTTTGATATGGATTAGGCACCTTAGGGAGACATCAACACAGTTCCTTACCTAGACCTTCATGCTACTGTTTCCTAGTTGAAGGTCTCCAGCAGCTCCCTGAGAGTAAAGCTCTCCTGGTGCTGAAGTATGGGAGTACAAGTGTCTCCTGCAGAGAACGTAGGCTGAATGACATGATGTAATAGGAAAAGGAACTTCACTGTTAGCATTTTTTTCTCTTTTTCTCAAGAAAGCACAACAACTGTTGCTAGATTTAAGACAAGCCACACTAAGATAGCACTCAATAAATGCCTGTGATTTGCAAATAAGCACAGAGCTGGGTATGTCCCTTCTGTCCTCTCAGTTCTTAGGAGAAAAACATTTTAAAAATTTAATTAAGGTATTCTGAGTTTTTAAAATTGGTATTAATACAATATTTTAAAATTGACTTTCATCTTAATATCAAAGCAAAAAATCTCTTGGGTTAAAATTACTGGTTTGGACATGACTGAATTTGTATTACTCGCAGCAGTCTTTTTGTATGAGGAACTGAACACTAAATTACTTTACAACCTAAGTAATAAAATATAGTCTCTTTATTGTGCTTGGCTATGTACCTTGTTTCATTTCATTAGATATTTTTCTTTAAAGAACAGTATACAGCATTCACATCTACATAACACTCAGCACTGAACTACAAGAACAGAAATGACTGCAAGAATTTGCACACATGAATCAAAAACTGAAGTGTCCCAACTTAAAAATATATTCACCACATAAAGTAAAAACCATGAGATTCCCAAAAAGCAAGGAGAAAGGAAAAAAAAGAATAGAGCTAATTTTAAGATGCTTGTGACCATTCTCTTCTTATCCCATGTCTGTACCTGTGATATCTGAGCTCTGTGCTTCTTACCATCATATGTTGGTGGGTTTCTCATCCTCCACTCTTCTCATCAAGAAAAGAGTATGCATGTTTCGGTAGGTTGTTTCTGGTGTGACTTAGTTCAAGGACTTCACAAAAGTAGGGAGCCATGAAATAATTCCATAGTATTCTATAATTTCAATCCTATCATCCATTTTTCAGGAATCAGGTTGCTGCAGTTCCAATGCTGAGCACTGAATTTTTGAAGTTATAATCACTTGCAGTACACATTCGTCATTGCCAGAGTTACATTACCCAAGCTTTACATGCAAAGAAGGTGTTCTTCAGGAGTCAGACCTGCCATTGCCTAAAAGGAAAGGAAACTGATGACTTGGCTGTCTGTAAAGGTACTCCATGGGTCATATATACCCAGTGCCAAGTCAACAATTCTTTCTATACTGGTCAAAATTTGATCCATATGGTCTGTAGGAAGTTTATTTTTTTGAGATGGCATCTGGAATGCAATAGAGACATTAAGATCTAAGAGAAATATAGTGACAATATATGAATTTATTACAGACCTTTAAATGGTTTTCTAGCTCCTGTTAAGTGCTTTGTGTTTCAGCTGTCAAAAAATCATCAGAAATTCCTTAATGAACCTTTCAAAAACAATTTGAGAAAAAAGGAACAAATAGCAGGCACATTAAAAGAGGTAGTATTCATCAGAAACTAGTGATGTTGTCTTTATAATGCTTTCAGTTTTGTCAATGTTTCCTTTCATGTCATAACTTTATAACAAAGAATTCTTCCATTACTGTGGTCATTTCTATTGAGTTTTATATTCTATACAAAGTCATTATCTGCTTCACAAAGAGGTAGGAGTCATTAGTCAACAGCTGACTAAATGTAGTTCCTAAAGTATGCTTGTGCTTCAAAGAAAATGCAACTGAAGTTACCTTCAGGAAAATAAATTCCCTGAGTTCCTGCACTTTATAAATGAGGCATTATTTTTATTGCTAAAGCGTAGCCTTGGAACATTACAAACCCCTGTTGTAAAATTTTCTAAAACAGCATGCATGTGCACACACACACACATACTGGCTAAATATTGCAGTGCTTCGAGCTGTTTAAAATAATGAAGGTCTAGCAGTTCTTGACCTAGAAAGCTGTCATCTAGCTTTTTATTTAGTATTCCTCTAAAAATGTACCTGCTCAGATTGCATGTTTTCAAAAGAAATTGAAGCATCTTAGTATCTTATACTGAAACATCCAATTTATGTTTTATCCCCTATCAGGTTAACTGGCAGAACTAAAAATATCACTGGAGGGCTGATGCTAATGATTTGGTATACCTAGTTTTTTTGGTGTTTTTTTTTAAATGCACTCTGTAAAGGATAATATGCCTACAAGCTTGAGTTTAAGCAATCTCAAATATCCTTTCTATGGTTTTATATTTGCACCAAGATAAGAGCCATACAACTTCAAAATCTGGACTAGACCCAGACTT